GGGTGCTCCCTTATTGGGTGAGTATATATTTAGGATCATTATCTCTTCTTGTTGCATTGATCCTTTGGCCATTATATAATATCCTTCATCTCTTTTTAACTTTGTTGGTTTAAAGTCTATTTTATCAGAGATGAGAATTGGAACTCCTGCTTTTTTTTTTGCTCTCCATTTGCTTGGTAAATCTTCCTCCATTCCTTTATTTTGAGCCTTTGTGTATACTTGCATGTGAGATGGGTTTTCTGGATACAGCGCAACAATGGGTTTTGGCTTTTTATCCAATTTGGCAGTCTGTGTCCTTTGATTGGGGCATTTAGCCCATTTACATTTAGGGTTAATATTGTTATGTGTAAATACCACCCTGCCATTTTGATGCTAGCTGGCTGTTTTGCCCATTAGTTGATGCAGTTTCTTCATCATCTCAATGCTCTTTACCATTTGGTATGTTTTTGGAGTGGCTGGTCCTGGTTGTTCCTTTCTATGTATAGTGTCTCTTTCAGCAGCTCTTGTAAAGCAGTCCTGGTGGTGATGAAATCACTGAGTACTTGCTTGTTCAAAAAGGATTTTATTTTTCCTTCACTTATGAAGCTTAGTTTGGCTGGATATGAAATTCTGGGTTGAAAGTTCCTTTCTTTAAGGATGTTGAATATTGGCACCCACTCGCTTCTGGCTTGTAGGGTTTCTGCTGAGAGATCTGCTGTGAGTCTGATGGGCTTCCCTTTGTGGGTAACCCAATCTTTCTCTCTGGCTGCCCTTAACATTTTCTCCTTCATTTCAACCCTGGTGAATCTAATGATTATATGCCTTGGGGTTGCTCTTGTGGAGGGATATCTTTGTGGGGTTCTTTGTATATCCTGGACTTGAATATTGGCCTGTCTTACAAGGTTGGGGAAGTTTTTCTGGATGATATCCTGAAGAGCATTTTCCAGCTTGGATTCATTCTCTCCATTACATTCAGGTACACCTATCAAACGTAGATTAGGTCTTTTCACAAAGTCCCATATTTCTTGGAGACTTTGTTCATTCCTTTTTACCCTTTTTTCTCTAATCTTGCCTTCTCGTTTTATTTCATTGAGATGATCTTTGACCTCTGATATCCTTTCTTCTGCTTGGGAAATTCGGCTGTTGAAACTTGTGCATGCTTCACGAAGTTCTCATGTTGTGTTTTCAGCTCCATCAATTCACTTATATTCCCCTCTAAGTTGTCTATTCTTGTTAGCATTTCATCAAATCGTTTATCAAGGTTCTTAGTTTCTTTGCATTGGGTTAGAATATGTTCTTTTAGCTCACGGAAGTTTCTTATTACCCACCTTCTGAAGCCTGATTCTGTCAATTCACCACACTCATTCTCCATTCAGCCTTGTTTCCTTGCTGGGGAGGAGTTGTGATCCCCTGTAGGAGGAGAGGCGTTCTGGTTTTGGGTGCTTTCATCCTTTTTGGGCTGGTTTCTTCCCATCTTTGTGGATTTATCCACCTGTCATCTTTGTAGTTGTTGACTTTCAGATTGGGTCTCTGAGTGGACGTCCAGTTTGTTGAGAATGAAGTTATTTCCTTCTGTTTCTTAGCTTTCCTTCTAACGTTCTGGCCCATTTGCTGTTGGACTGCTGAGGTCCACCCCAGGCCCTGCTTGCCTGGGGATAACCTGCAGTGGCTGCAGAACAGTAAGGGTTGCTGCTAGTTTCTTCTTCTGCTACTTTTGTCCCAGATGGATACCCACAAAATGTCAGTCTGATGTCTCCTTTATGAGGTGACTCTGGATGTATGGGGGTCAGAGAGCTGCTTGAGGAGAAAGTCTGTCCTTTATAGGAGCTCAAGTGCTGAGCTCTGATCTCCATTGTTCATTTAGAGCTACTGGGCAGGTAGGTTTAAGTCTGCTGCAACAGAACTCATACCCCCACCCCTTTTTTTCCCCAGGTGCTCCATCCTGGGTAGTTAGGGCTTTATTTATGAGTTTCCTTTGTGCTGCTGCCTTTTTATCAGGGCTGCCCTGCCCAGCGATGAGCCAGCCTAGTCACTGTCTGTCTGCAGAGGCTTTTCTGAGCTGCTGTGGGCTCCGTCCAGCTGCCATGTGAACTTCCCTGCATTTCTGTTTATACTGGCGTAGTTAGAACTGCCTCTGTAGTGGTGGACTCTCTCTGTAATGGTGGGTTGCCTCAGCAATGGTGGGCTGCCTCAGCGATGGCAAACTACCTCTGTAGTGCTGGACTGCCTCAGTAATGGCCAACACCCCTCCCCCACGAAGATGGACCTTCCCAGGTTCAGCTGTACTTGCTGTGAAACTCTCAACCCAGAGCATTTCCAATTTCTGTTTTTTTGTGGGGTTGGGACCAGCTGAGCCTGAATAGTAGATTCTCTCCCAGGTGTTCCAGTTGCCTGTTGAAAAGGTGCCAAGATCTGTGTGATTTCCCATGTGGCAACCCGCTGCACAACCTAAAACAGCAGCACTGAGATTCGCGGCATTTTTTTGTCTAGTTAAAAAAACTGGCTCCCTGTTTAAGTCCGCTTTTTAATGAGATGAATGGGTGACTCTGCCTTCCCAGAGCCCCAGTCAACAGCTAAAATGGTGCCCAGACCCGTGTATTTTGTATGGAGAACTGCTGCCCCAGGGCGCCAGCAAAGCAGCCATGCTGGCCAAACCAGCAGCACTGGTGACCTATGGGGCTCCTCCACCTGGGAATCTCCTGGCCTGTGGGCAATAAAAATCCATCTGGAAATGCGGCTTCCACTCACCCTCTGTGCTTTCACTGGGAGCTGCAATCCTGAGCTGCTCCTAATTGGCCATCTTGGATCCAACCTTGAAAATAGTTTTAACTGAATCTGGATCTTGGTATTTTCAATCCATTCAGCCAGTCTGTGTAAGGACTTACTTTTGCCATTTTGTTATTTGTTTTCTGGTTGTTTTGAGGTCTTCTGTCATTTTTTCTTCCCTGTCTTCCTTTTTGTGAAATTAACTTTCTCTGCTGATATGACTTAGTTTCTTGTTTTCATTTTTTATGTGTCTGTTGTATGTGTTTCAGTTTGAGGTCACCAGGAGGCTTGAAAATACCATCTTGTAGCCCAAATAACAATATTTGTATAAACAAACAAGCAAAAAAAGAATAAAAATTCTACACCTTAACTTCATCCCCCCACTTTTTTAACTTTGTTGTTTTTATTTATATTTTATTGCACTGTGCATGTTTTAAAATGTGTTTTAATTACTATTTTTGACAGGTTTATCACTTAGTCTTTTTACTTAGGATAAAAGGAGTTTACATACCAGAGTTACAATGTCATATTATTCTCTTTTTCTGTGTACTTACTATTACCAGTGAGTCTTCACATTCAAGTGTTTTCTTACTGCTCATTAATGTCCTTTTCTTATGACCGAAGCACTCTCTTTAGCATTTCTTGTAGGAGAGGTCTAGTGTCAATGTAATCACTCAGCTTTTCTTTCTATGGAAAAGCCTTTATTCCTCCTTGATGTGTGAAGGATATTTTCACCTGCTATACCATTCTAGAGTAAAAGGATTTTTCCTTCAGCACTTGAAATATGTCAGGCCACTCTGTCCTGGCCTATAAATTTCCCACTGTAAAGCCTGTTGCCAAACATATTAGGGCTCTATTGCATGTGATTTCCACTTTAAGTTTCTTTATCCTTGATCTTTGGGTGTTTAATTATTAAATGCCTTGAGGTTAGTCCTTTCTTTGGGTTAAATCTTCTTTGGTTTTATATCCTACTTGGACTTAGATATTGATATCTTTCTCTGTTATTATTTCTTTTAATATCTTTCTACTTCTATCTCTTTCTCCACCTTCTCTTCAAGGCCAATAGCTTAGATTAGTCCTTTTGAGGCTGTTTTCTAGATCTTATAGGTGTGCTTCATCATTTATTATTATTTTTCTTTTGTCTCCTCTGTGTATTTTCAAATAGCCTGTCTTCAAGTTCACTGATTCTTTCTTCTGCCCGATGAATTCTGCTATTAAATGACTGATGCATTCTTCACTATGCCAACTGCACTTTTCAGTTCTAAAATTTCTGCTTGATTCTTTCAAAGTATTTTAAGCTCGTTGTTAAATTTATCTGATAGAATCCTAAATTCCTTCTCTGCATTATTTTGAATTTCTTTTAGTTTTTTCAAAACAACTGATATGGTTTGGATGTGTCCCCACCAAATCTCATCTTGAGCCCAATTTTATGTGTATGTTCTTACAAAAGGCCTCTCAGATGAGGTCAAGTTTCAGCAGAATCTTCAAAGAAGTAAAAGAGTGAGGTAAATAGATTCTAGGAAAAGAAAATTTTAAATAACAGAAATGACCATGATACATAAATTTGCTTGTGTGCTAGGAATAGCAAGAAAGCTAATATGCTGGCAGGTGGTGAATCAAGGAGTGATTGGTGAGAGATACATTCAGAGGAGTGGTCAGAGACCAGAGGCCAGACTGGGGAGTATGTTGAAATCCAGTGAAAGAAGTTTGAATTTTATTATTGATGAATTAGAAAGTCAATAGAGGGCTTTGAGTATAAGAGTGGTATGATTTTTCTTTAAATAATATAGTGAAACTCTGGCTGCTCTGAGGAGAATGGACTGTAGGGAAAAAAGAGTGGAAGCAGACCAATTCTGAAGCTTTAACAATGATCCAGCCTAGAGGTCATGCTGTCTTGGACCAGGGTGTTTGTATGAAGCAGGTGACAAGGGGTGGGTTCTGACTTTATTTTGAAGCAAAGTCTAACACAATTTGCAGATGATTGCTTACTGGGTATGTGAGAAAACAAAGATAACCAAGATATAGTTAGATGAACAGAGTTATTAATTACTAAAATTGGGGTGATTGGAAAGGAACAGGTTTGAAGGGAGATCCAGAGTTGCATTTCAGAACTACTAAATTTTCAACACTATTTGAATTATAAAGTGAATTGTTACATGAGTGGTAAAATTAAATTGAATTAGCAGATGTATTGCAGGGTTTTGTGCTAACCCATAATCACCCTTTCTTCATTCTATCTTTCTCTGTATAACCAGGCTGAAGAAGTGCTGAAAAAATACTTGGAGTCCAAGGAGGATGTGGCTGATTCACTTCTACAAACTGATCAGTCACTCTCAGAAAAGGAAAAAGCGATTGAAGGTGAGAACAGCTGAAAACACTGTAGATGGTTGGAAAGTCCTCAAACTGTCAGTTAGCAATATTGCTCCACTTAGAAGTATTATTGTAGAGAAAGAATGGCAAGTATCATTCATAGTTCTACAAGAGTTTTCTTAACTAATGTGTATGATCAGTGGTTTTCTGGTTACGCAGGCAAAATTACAAGAAGTTTTCTCAGTAATGTGAGGATAAGACAAACAAAAAAGAGTGAAAGGAAAAGGGAACACCTGCAATTGAATATTCATTTTTTTCTGCTTATTTTTCTTCCCCAGTGGAACGTATAAAGGCTGAATCTGCAGAAGCTGCAATGAAAATGTTGGAGGAAATACAAAAGAAGAATGAGAAGATGATGGAAGAGAAAGAGAAGAGTTATCAGGAACATGTGAAACAATTGACTGAGAAGATGGAGCGTGATAAGGCCCAGTTAATGGCGGAGCAAGAGAAGACCATCACATGTAAACTTAAGGTATTCAATTGCATCATCTCAATTTTCTTTTCTGGCGCCTCAAATCGAAAACAAAGTGTAAGGGTGAGAACCTAATGCCTCCCAAAAAACTTTCTAGCCCAGACACTACTACATTTTTCATTCCCCGTTTTTATGCTAGTCATCTCTAGTTAGCAAAGATTGTTTACTTTCAGGACAATATCACATGGAATACGTTATTATGCTGTCACTAATAAACAGTACTAGGCACTGCACACGTGTTTTACATTATGTGATCAAATTTTCCTCTAATGGCAGAGGAACTATTATTTTCTCATTTGCTAAATGAAGAAATTATAATTTCATGAGCAATAAGTAACTTTTCTGCATCGGACTACCCGGAGAAATATCTAGTCAGACTTTCCTACTCAGAGAGATCCACAGGGATTTTGTTTCTGTCATGCCTGCTATAACTTTATGTCTAGAAGCACTGTTATAAGTAGAAAGATTTTCTAACTGTGATAGGTATGATGGCTCACATCTGTAATCCCAGCGCTTTGGGAGACTGGGGGTGGGGGGCAAATTGCCTGAGGTCGGGAGTTCAAGACCAGCCTGACCAACATGGAGAAAATGCATCTCTACTTAAAATACAAAATTAGCTGGGTTTGGTGGTGCATGCCTGTAATCCCAGCTACTCAGGAAGCTGAGGCAGAAGAATCACTTGAACCTGGGAGGTGGAGGTTGCACTGAGCCAAGATCACATCATTGCATTCCAGCCTGGGCAACAAAAGTGAAACTGCATCTTAAAAAAAAAAGAAAACAAAAGAAAAAAGAAAGAAAGATTTTCTAACCATCTACCCACTTAAACGCACTCGTTAAGTGCCCATGGTGCCAATACTTTCTTGTTCTCTGGGCTCTTTTCCACATTTATGTTTGCCCAGAAATACCCTATGGGCCACTGTAGTCTCTGATCTCCTCAGTTTATTTCTGTTACCTCTGAATTTTGGAGATTCGTACTAAATTCTCCAATCAAACACTTACCTTAGTCTTGAGTTATGTAGTAACCTATCAATTAAAAATGACCTATCTTTCATATCTTCCTAGATATATATTTAAGTCCATACTATACAGATCAGAAATGAACACAAAGAAAAGAACAAAAGTTTTTCCAGAAAGACTGTGTTGCATGTGTGTGAAGGGTAAAGGGACTGAAGAATAAAATGTTGGGTCACTAATATTTTAGAACCTGTAGGACAAGAACATTTTTGAAGCTAAAGAAATCACAGAAAAATTATTGGCAGGTACTGGAGACTCAGAAGAGAGTGCTAGAATGGAAAGTAAGGGAAGAAGCATTTCAAAAACGAGTGTCAAAAATTGTTGAAGGATCAATATAAGTATCAAATGGGGAACTAATTTGGTGAAAGTGTATTAAACTGGATGGGTTTATTCTCCACTTTCGCTTTTAGGAACAGGAACTCCTTCTCAAAGAGGGATTCCAGAATGAGAGCAAGAGACTTCAGAAGGAGATACAAGATATCCAGATGAGAGAAAGATCATCGAACTCAACATGTAACATACTCTAAAAGTCCAAGGAGAAAAGTTTGCCTACCTAGCTCCCTCTCTCCAAGGAACAAGGTGAATGAGCAACTCCAGTGTGTCGAACAACTGCCATTAAACTTAACTCAAAATCATGATGTGAGCATTTTTGTTGGACAATAAAGTTTGCAAAGTGAAGGTTCAATATGAGGTCTATGTTTTACTGACAGAGCAATTCAATTCATGTGTATTTATAGACTAATTTTTAATATGATCTTTAAATCCTATATTTGAAATTATGCAGAAGGACTCAAGAGAGATATTGACAACTGGAATGCATTTTACAATGAGATATTATGCAGTTTCTGTTCAGGGTAGATTTTTTTTTCTCATATAAAACACACTTCTGTGTTTCTGCCCCGTGCTCTTATTCAGGGATTTACTATAATCCTAGGATAGGGCTGGAGTGTTGTGAGTATGATGAAAATCTGATGAGACCAAACAAACCATGGGGCACAGTCGAGCATCTCTCCTGCCAAGTGGCCTTTGTATGGCACCCTGGCTGCAAATGAAGGACATCTGGGACACTTAGCTAGGCTTTGAAGTACAGACAGTGAACAGTTCTCATTGGGGTGAAGGCTGCATGATCTATGGGCACTGGCAGAGAATGTGGTTGCCTCTGTGCAGAATGCATATATGAGAAGAGGCTCCACATTCTCTGTCCATATAAACCCTCTAGGTAATTACTGCCCAATTCCCAGGCCACCTGGAATTCTCTCCTCTAATCTCCTTTTCTTAGTCTTTTCCATTTCCTGAATTTTAGAGAATGACTTCTAGAACCACAGAAAGGAGAGCTTTAACTCAAACTCTAATTACTTTCCATTTGAGGACCATGGCTGTAACTCTATAAAGCCTAAAACTCAACTGCGTTTTTCTCTCTGCCCCTCTGCTATGACATTATATACTCAAAGCTAATCAGAATAAATGCCTTTCTAGGGAAAAAACAGATGACAGATCAAAAATATCAAGAATAATTCATTAATACAGAACATCCTACTCCAATTGTTTCAGGGTGTTTATTATTCAGAGTTCTTCATGGCAAATAACAATCTGCTCAGCAATTTAATTAAAAAGTGATTTAATTTTTAAGACCATTAAGGTGCACACAGATACTCCAGAATTGTAAGGGAGTCATACTCTGCAGCTAGTCTACCCAGAATAATACTACAATTGTAAAGGCATCTTATGGGAAAACCACAGAGCTACCATGACCCGGCACCATGATCTCTAGATGAAATGCTAGAAGCTTCTCCAGTGTCACCTATGAGTAAATGGATGCCACCACTTTCACATTTGCAGTAAACAAACACACCCCTACCTCATGAAAAGTTGCATCTTGAGTTGCTTACACCTCCAGCTAAGCCTCAGAAAAGTCAGTGTGCAGGGAAGAATCTAAATCAAATGCCTACCCACGGGCAACTCTGAGAATTCGAATTATTTGTCTTCTACTTTTGAAGGTAGAAACTAACATCATGGGAAATTTTCCTCTGGGTTTAAGTCAACCGATTTTTCCAGGTAGATGTCGGGAGATTAATCTTACAGCAGGAATAAAATAAGACTTGTGCTAGTATTTTTGTGTATATCAGATACAATACTCTTCTCATCTTTTACTCTTTGTCATGATTTTTAGATGTTTTCTTTTATTTTTTCCACTGTTGTTTTATGTCATGCACTTTGCTAACATTCTTTAAGTTCTTCTTAGCTTTTAAAAATGATACTTAAGAAAGCCTTAATAGGACTATAGAACAGGTACTCCCTACTCCCCAACCCTCCAACACAATATAACACATTAGTTCATTTGTATTTAAGATTTATCTTGTTTATGCCTCAATTTAGGTATCATTCTTATTTTTTAAACAGCTAATATTTTGTATCTAGTTCTGTGCAAGCAAAAAGCAATCTTATTCTTTCTTATAATTCCCCTTTTACTTAATCAGAACATTTTTTCTGGTTTGTTCATTAGTCACGCTCAAATAAATGAATAGTCTCTCTTTCTAAAGAAAAACAAAATGCCATTTGACCTAAATTTGTAGATGTCTCTCTGAGTTTTGACTTAAAGCTTCTCTCGTTGTATCCTGCATCCCCTCAGGTCCCACTCATTCACACAGCCCAGGCCTGATTCAGCCTTACAGGCGCACAGTGAGAAAGGAGCTGGGCTTTTTTTTTTTTCATTTCCAGCTCTACCTCCCACAGGGTATACTAGCTCATGCTTATGATACCTTCAAGTTGTAACACTAGAGGGCAGGGAATTAAGGAAAAGAAACCTTACATGATACATAAGTGATCTGGTGTTGTCACCTTCTGGTGGTGGCTTAAGTCCTTAAGGATGATTTGGATTCTTTGCTGATTTCCTCTGCCTGGACCTCCCAGTAGCACATCCCTATTGTAGTCCACTTCTGATTCTTTTCCTCAAATTTTCTCTTCTAAGGATCCACTTATTCCATATATGCTTGCTGTTGAGATCAATGAACCTTGACATGTTGACATTTGGTGCAAGATTCCTTCAAGATGACTCAAGTCCAGAACACCCCAGTGATTCTAACCAGGAGAAAAGCTCATGCGCACCTACCTGCCACACACAGCAGGGACAGGAGGCCCCCAAGTCTCTTTTCTTTCCTACTTGGCCACAAACCATTCCACCCTAGACTATCACTTTTAAAAGCTTTTAGGCATGAGTCAGGCACCAGGGCTAGTGTCCCCAGATCCCAAAGAGCACATATCAGCTTTTCAAGAGAATCTTTAAGTGCCCATTGCTACTTCATTTGTACAGGTAGTAAGAAAGCAACGCCTCTCATTGCCGTATGAGTAAAATGAGCAAAAATACAAAGAGGGTGGGGATCAATGCACACCAATACCTCTCTCAAAAGAACTCTCTGCTGCTAATCTACTCTGATCAGTGTCTTCACCTCATCTTATATTCCCTGGATGCAACTTGGTGTAAGACCTACACAATCTCTCAGTACTATTCTTTTAGAAAATGACTAATTGAACTTTCACACTTGGAGGGGAAAGGTAGAGCTAAATACTGCCAGATTGTTCTAGTCCACTTTCATTTTCAGTCTACTTTCAGGAATAAGGAGCAATGACTAAACATAATTTAGCCATTTTTTTAACAAACCAAATTATTTGAACCAAATGCCAGAATCTTGTGGCATTGTGAACTGGCATAAAATGTAGTTTAAAATCTTTGTAGTATATTTGCTGTAAAATGAGGATGATAGTACTTGCATCACAATCTAGTACTGAGGAATAAATTAAATTTAATAAATAATATTTATAAAGAAGTTAACACAAAGTCTGCAATATAATAGGCACTAAATGTAATATGCTGCTGCTTCTTCTTCTTCTTCTTCTTCTTTTTCTTCTTCTTCTTCTTCTTCTTCTTCTTCTTCTTCTTCTTCTTCTTCTTCTTCTTCTTCTTTTTTTGACAGAGTCTTGCTGTCTCACTCTTATCATCCAGGCTGGAATGGAGTGGAGTGGTGCTATCTCAGCTCACTGCAATCTTTGCCTCCCTGGTTGAAGCGATTCTCCTTCCTCAGCCTCCTGAGTGGCTAGGATTACAGACACACACCACCATGCCTAACTAATTTTTGTATTTTTAGTAGAGATGGCATTTTGCCATGTTGGCCAGCCTGGTCTGGAACTCCTGACCTCAAGTGATCCGCCTGCCTTGGCCTCCCAAATCACTGGGATTACAGGCATGAGCCACTGTACCCAGCTGAATGCAATATACTTTTTATCATAACACTAACCCAGACTTCAATGCTGCAAATATATTTCATTTTGGTAATATTTAAAGACTTATTAAAACAGTATGCCATTTTCCACCTCTCAATTTAGTTAATATTAAAAAGCCTTATTCCACCTCTGAGGGGGTAAGCATGAAGGATTGACAGCAAATTTATTAATATATCTCAAAAAGCCTTTAATAAAAACACCATCTCTGACCTTCATGCTCCACTCCCAGTTTCATTCTTTCAAGCAAAATACATATAAAAGGCTACATCCTTAGTTTGGTGCTAGATACTCGCCAGTATATAAGAAATGTCCTTTACTTCACCTGCTGCATCTCTGAGTGACTAACCTGTTCTGATGTGAGTGTGTCAAATATTTGAAGAAGTTGGACTTTAAAACAATATGATACCTCCTCAACCTTCGCTTTTCAAAATGTCACCCAAACCTGAAATAAGTAAGATGATATTTCACATGATATGATGGGCTTTTAAAAACAACAAGAAATGATATCTAAGATTTCTTCCAAAAATAAAATTTGAAGATGTTAATGCAACCACTAGCACAGCTCCCAGAAAATTATTTACAGTTTTAATCCACTGCTTTGCACTTAGGACTTTGAGGTTCAGTGTGTCTACACTGTTACAGAGGTTGCTTTTTTTCTTTCCTTCTAATTATCTGTTCTCAGAAGGTAACTTGGAAAGCTCCAGGACATTGTAGGGGTGAGATAAAAACACAAAGATCAAGCAACCTCAGCAAAGTCTAAGGATACAAAATCAAAGTGCAAAAATCACAAGCATTCCTATACACCAAGAACAGACTTAAAGAGGGCCAAATCAAGAACAAACTGCCATTCACAATTGCCACAAAGAGAATAAAATACCTAGGAATACAACTTACAAGGAACGTAAGGGACCTGTTCAAGGAGAACTACAAACCACTGCTCAACGAAATAAGAGAGGACCCAAACAGATGGAGAACCATTCCATGATAATGGTTGGGAAGAAACAATATCGTGAAAATGGTCATACTGCCCACATTAGGAATTTTTGTATCTTTATTTGTCTCTTGTAAGATGGCACAATCTTCTTTCCTGTGTCCTGTTAACAATATCCAAACATGACCTTGCATTTCTCTAATGACCAGTGATGATGAGCATTTTTTCATATGTTTGTGGGCCTCATATATGTCTGCTTTTGAAAAGTGTCTGTTCATATCTTTGCCCACTTTTGAATGGGTTTTTTTTTTCTTGTATATCTGTTTTAGTTCTTTGTAGATTCTGGATATTAGCCATTTGTCAGATGGGTAGATTGCAAACTTTTTTCCCATTCTCTTGGTTACCGGTTCTCTCTAAAGATGGTTTCTTTTGCTGCACAGAGGCTCTGATTTTTAATTACATCGCATTTGTCTATC